GGGGGGCAGCGCAGGCCCCCGCTGTTCCCAGCTGAGCCCGATGCCAACTGCCTGCAGGTCTGCCAGGGGACAGAGACGTAACTTGGCTCCACGTGGACACAACATGATTCCCCTCTCCTCACCAGTTCACTAAACTCATATTTCCTACACCTCTCCTAGGGCAGTTCAGGCTAAAAAAAATCATCTTAGTAATGGCCAAGTTTGTTTGCTTGCTCTGAGGATGTTTGTTTAATACCTCTTTGCTAATGAGTCAAGCTTTTTCTATGATCCACAAGACATCAATATTGCCTGTGCTCGGGGACCCGAAGCACGTATGCTAAGCACTGGGTATTTCAAACGGCAAGTGTTTTGTTAACAACAACAGCTACACAAGCTAGGGAGCAGCCTGAAATTCTGGAGTCAGAGTGAGATCAAAGCGCTCAAAGGTTAATTGGCAAGATGCCGCAGGAGCTATTCTGCAGTGGGAATTTATGATTTACAAGCATGCCAGTAAAAGACTGCTTTTATCGTCACATTTCACCAAGTACTTGCAAATTTTAATACAGGAACCCACTATTTTTTCTCTACTTTAGCATCAAAAAAGCTTCTCAAATATAGAAACACGTAATCGGTTTCCTACAAAAGCCATTTTTTGCCCCCTAAGAATAGCATTAATAATATAAATAACAACACAGATACCTCTGAGAAATAGATGTGGGAAGACTGGGGGTGGAAAATTCACCTTTTTTTCCTCCCCTTCCCCATGTTTTGTGCTTCCCCTAACTATTTGCCTGTGCTGCCCTCTGGGTTATTTTTTTTTCTGCGCGAAAACAAGCATTGCCCCATGCTGACCAGGGACCCGACCACAGAAATCGCCTGAGCATCCCACTTGCCCAGCGCTCTCTTTGGATAACACCTTTGCCAAAATGAAAGGGTGAGGAGGGATATGGGGGGGGTGTTGAAGGAGCCCCCCAAACAACACCCCCCCAGTGCCAAGGGCAGGCGACCCAGAGGGTCCCCCTGCAGCCTGGGGAAGCTGCAGCAGGAGCAAGCCGGCAAGCCTGGCTCACAGCCTGCCGAAAATGGTATGTTAAATATCCTATTGTGCATTTAAATGGTATTTATAGACACCATCAATCACACAGGTCCTAAATGCGTTAAATCAAGATTCACTTAAAGACCAGTGTTCTTCCAGACTCCTAAAAACAGCTCAGAAAAATGAAATCATGATGGCCCTCACCTAAATTTCATGGATTCAAGCAGGTCTCTGGTGCTCAGCAGGGCTTGGTTTACACTCAGCCCCAGCCCCTGGTGCCCACCACAGAGATGGACGCAGGCAATGGGGAGCAAGCTCAGGTTGACCTTCTGTGTTACAGCAAGCAGGCCTCACGGTACCCTTACCTTCGTAAGATCAAGATTCAGCGGACGACAGACATAAATACAGAGCTAGCATAGAATAAGCTAGAATCAGCCCCAAAACCTGCATAACTGGGGCTGGGGGGGGAAGCCCACCACAAACCAGAGCAGAGAGACACAAGCCCATCTCCAAGCCAAAGAGAACAACTAACCTCTTGCACCGCTTTTAAACTCCAACCTCCGGGTGTCTCTGACCATAATTGGGCACAGCTGGGCTCCCTCCGCTCGCCTCCTGCCAGGAGGAGGTCTGGAGCACCAAACAGAAAACACATGGGAACTGCAGACCTTGCTAAATGAGCCGTCAGCAGCATTTTTCATTCCTGATGTGGTGGCGGTTTAGGCAGCGCCTGTTTGGAGGCAGCGTGTTTGCAATTTCTTGGGCAAACACTTGATTTTTTGGGCGTCTGAACATAATTTCGGCAGCCATAGCAGATGTCCTATCATCTAGTGCATAGGGAATACTAACTGTGTGGCAGGCACAGTACCTCAGCGGGCAGTGGCTGTAGGTGCCGTTATCCTGATTTTGACACTCTAAGCCTACAATCTGCTATTTAACTTTTTCAGTTTGGGTTTCCCTGGCTACCCGTGGTTTTAGTTGCATTTACCAATTCATCAGCGACACTTGCAAAAGTAAGGTAGTGCTTGCAAAAGTCAGGTATTACTTACAGGCCACCCTCAAGAGAAAAAGTGTTTCACATGCTGAGGTTTACTAGAGCAATGGTGCTAGAAGCTGCATAACTAACCTACAAGGGCAGAAGAATATTAAGCACCATGTAGCCCACTGATTTGCTTATGCATGCAAAACCTCCACTGCAAATTTAAGCAGCGCCTATACCTATCGTGCAAGAGGGTAAGCTGCTATGCTGTTTGCTTTTTCTTCATTACTGTAATTAGGTTCTGTCTTTTTGGCCCCCCCCCCGCTTTTTTTTGTGTGTTTGTGTTAACTGTTCTGCAGAAAGTCAAACCACAGGCAGCTTGCTTCTACAAACAAATCCAATTAGTGAAGATTGTGGACAGATTAAGATTTAAGACTCCACAGAGATGCCTGGATGGAAATCCTTTAGGTTAGTTAGCTCTTACTCAAAAACCCACAAACAAGAACAGAGGATAGCAGCACATTTAACTTGGGGACTGGTGGGTGGAGAGCACCAGGTAATTAAAGGTCTCTCCTTTATTATCACCCTTGGAAAAGGGAGGGCCAGATAAGCCAGGATATGACCCATTACCAGCAAGGACAGGTATGTAGGTCACTGTGTCATATGGAAAGGCGCAGAGCAGAACCTGAGCAGCAGCCTGCATGCAGTGGCCCAGATCAAAGAAGAAGCGGGGGACACCTTCAAAAAGAGCTCTGGCCATGGATCAGGGAGCAGGCAGAGGCCCCCGGTCCAAAGCAAAGCACAGCTCCCAGCTTGCTTTTTCCTCTGGCTGGACAGGGGGCCATCTTGGCTGCTCTCAGGAGGTAACTTATGAAAAAACCTTTGATGAAGAATTCCTAGGATTTTGTAGGGCCAAAAATAGGGAGGGCAAACAGGTGCAGGGGGCAGGCAGACAGCTGCATGTGCAGGGTGAGCGACGACTTCTCCTTCATCCCACTCTTCCCTCTGTTCTTTCACCCAGAAAGAGAGAGCCAAAGAAGGGAGAAGGGAACAAAGATTTCTCTCCGAAGGCATAAAACACAAATGAGGCAGACAGCAGGGTGGATGCAAAGGTTTACAGGCATTCATTTCTGGGAACGGGTTAGGAGAGATCCGACTCCAGCTTCAGCAGGGTGAGTCACCAGCTAGTCTGCCGCTCCGGCTGGATCGCTGCTATGGCTCTTGGAAATAAAAGTTGCCAGCACATAAATGCCAATAAAGCGGGCAGGGCAGACTCAGGCTGATTGCATGAGATCATCCCAGAGGACCAGCTACCCGGCAGGAGTCAGCAAGGGTCAGCGATGCCGACAGCCACTTCCCCATTGCTTCCTAGTGATGACTCTTTAGCTCCACATGACTCCAGAAGGCACCACGGTTGTCACCTGCCAGGCAGTTCCCGTGATTGTATGGTGTCACAGAGCAGTAATATACGACTATTTCCCTGGACCATGAGGTGGGTATTTCAGGACGCGGTACTTTGAGTAACTGTTTATACAGTAACAGCTCGCTGCGATGGAGTCATCAAGCGTTTCTGAGGTTAATCAGTACTGCAGAAAAACAGAACATGGAACCACCTGAGCTCCCCAAACCGTGGCCTGGGTACCGCAGGGTGCCACAAGTGCCACGCAAGCAGCAAGGGCTCGGCGCGGCAACAGGAGCTGCTTTGGGTGCTGGCAGCCCACGTTTTGGCAACCTCTGATCTAAACAGCTTGAAGACTGGGGGAGAACCATAACACTGCGAACATCTGAATCGCATCAGGTGAAGCTTCTGCCATCATCAGAGTGGTTTTACTGTACCCACTGCTTCTGCTGCTACCAGTCCTGAGCAAAATGGTACCAGTTGATCAGGAACATTTGCTAGCAAAAGGGCTGGTAAGACCTCTCTTGTGCAAATGGTGAGTCTGAAATGTGTCTTCTTTTCACACTGGAGTAAAATCTGAATGTTGCAAAACCCCAAAAAATATTCTTTTAGGATTGATCATAACCGCAGTATAATTTTTTTTTAATCTGCCTGTGAAGTTTTTATGTTGTTATGAAAACAAACATTTCACGTGGAAGAAGAAAATGCTTTCTTCCAAGAAGTCCCCAAAAGTGAAAGCAGGACACTTCATCACCACCCAAAATTTGCAAAACACGTATTTCTCGGGAAGCGTATTTTTTTTTTTACTGGCCTGCAGTGGCTGTAGTGGGTTATTGTTTTTCTGTCCAATTCTAATCAGCATAGCAATATCCAGTAAGGGTCTGCTGAAAAATTTTATCACATTATATCAGCAAAAATGTATTTATAATGTATTTGTAATGACAAAAGTATGAGGTCACTAAATGTAGTTTATTTCACGCCGGGAGCTAATAGGGGAGAGTGGCAGAAGGCTGGCAGGCACCAGTTGAGCTTCTGCTAGGAGAACTGCAGGACAAGCTGTACCATCAGATCCCTTCCAGCAAGCCGTGGACCACAGCAACACGCTAGCTGAGGGGCAGAGCGCTCAATTTGAGCAGCTTTGTATTTTAAAAATGGCTGGGCAAGCAGCAGGTTGCAAGAGACCAGGAAAACCAAACCAGGGTTCCAGTATTAGCAAGTCAAATTGAGAACTGACGTCAGGAGCCCCGGGGTGGTTATATCATGAATTTCACAATATTTGGTGCTGTTTTCTACTGTTCCTGCAACTCTGTAATTACAGGAAAATTACCATTCTCGTTTAAAAGTAAAAAAAAAAATTAAAAAAAATAAAATGTTTCCAGCCTGGAAAGTTTAAAAGACGTTAACCAAGAACTCCAAATGAAAAAAAGTAAATAAAAAAGCGCATCAAACTAATAATTAAACCACCCCAAACTCTCAGGGTTTTCCAGCAGACAGCTCACGATGTGTGGCGGTCTGAGTTGAGCTGATAGCTCCTGGCTGCTCAGCTGGAGAAAATTTAGTTTTCTTGAGGGAGAGGCGACTAAGAGGGAGTATCTGTTTTTAAAAGATAAGAGAGTAAAATATGGTGGCTGCGGGGCTGGTAGGAAGGAGTAGCTGTAGTTTCATGTGGTTTTTTGTGTCTGAGAGATGGAGCTAGGAGAAAGAGTAAAAGTGGATCCTAGCTAGAACTTGAGTGACAGTCTTTGCACTTGCTCCCTTATCCCTTTGTCTGTGTTCCTTACATACCGCTACAGAAGTCTTCAAATACCTGGGAAATGCATCACTGACTGGGGTGTATATACACAGACACACGTGCGTATAGAAGCACGTATATCTACTAAACGCCTGCAAGCATTTAGCCGCATAAGGCCCTGTGAGAAGCAACAGCCACAACATGCAAAGAGTTACGGAGTAAAGAATGTAGCTGCCACAAATCCACCTCTAATCCTCCTCTAATCACACGGGCGAGCGGGGCCCTAACGCCGAGCCAGCTCAGCGCTGCGCTGCGCTCCGGCGCACAGGAAAGGAAGCAGCAGCACCTGATGACGCAGGACTCTACAGTACGGAGGGTGAAGCGAAGGCTGTTATTGGGAAACCACTTTATTGTGAAGCTGGCAGTCTAATGAGAGCAGCTGATGGGACCAGCTGACTGCATCTACAGCGACAACAGCCTGCTAGCATCCTTAGTTATCTGTCATCTTCCCCCACCCCCCATCCTGGCACATCGCAGCGTTTGGAGTGAGGTAATCTCCCCACACCATAAAGACTGCAATCATTCTTTAGATTGCTCCACTGAGTTGTACCCGAACTCACGCCTTACGAGGGCCACTATGCCAGGGGGGAGAATTTCGCCTCTGGGCGCACCTATGGCAAACTGCCAAGAAAGGGTGGGTGCATCCTACTCTTGCTTCACACGCGCTCCCTCGTGCATGAAGGGCACAAAGGAAATACAGAAAATACAACTAGGCAGTAGTAGATGCAGAGGCGTAGACTAGGCGAAATCCCAGCAGAAAGTTAGATAACAACAAATGCAAGGCACTTACACAGAGCTGCTCTTCACCGAGCTGAAATAGCTCCCGCACGCTTTAGTCAGTTCATCACTCCTGGCTCTTGGGAGAAGAGGTCCAAGTCCAATTACCTGTGGTCCAGCCACGAAGACTGGGGCAAAGGAAGAGAGCAAGGTGCTTGTTTGAGGCCTGACACGTGAACAGAAAATAAGTCTGCTAATTTTCACTGCTTAATTCAGAAAAAAATTGCTTACGTGGCTCAAAAAGGCCTTTGAAAGTCCCCAATCCATCTGTCCCTCATGTCTGATACCCAATACTTTCCTTCCCCAGAGTATTTTGCGTGGTTTGGCTTGGAGAAGCTAATAACTTCTCTGTGTGTGCTAACTGGACTAGCCCCTCGCTTTTCAGCTTAGCTGTTAATGCACGTGGAAATACATATAGGAAGAAGCTTGCCCTTTTGCTGCCCTTGACACACCTTGTCTGAGCCTACAGGATTTCGGATCTCCAGGGCTCTCCGTCTAGCAGCTTGTAAAGGCATTCTGAATTTACTACTCTTAACCAGCAAAGAAAATAAATCTTCCTTGCCATAAATGCTAATGTTGGTGCACTGAGAAATTCAGAGGGAGGCTGCAGAGAGAGAGAGGAACATTCCCCATGCGATGATTAAAGTGCCAGTTCATGAAAGCTGACGTCAGCGCGTGCTTGCAGGGTGGCAGAGCACTTTGCGTTTATCCTCTCCTTGTTTGTGCTCCATCTGGATGGGCTCCAGTGCGGGGG